GGTCTGGTCTCTGGTCCTGCACCCTCAGTGACCTTGTTCTTTATTCCATCCATGCTTGGATCTGAGGTCATGAACACAGTAGCGCTTCTTGCTTCTCTGGGCTATGTCTGTTTTTTCTTGTCTTCCCAGATCTGCTCTCTGTGAATTTGAACCGATATGATGTGGTTGCTCTGACTGATGCTCTAAAAGGTTTCCTGCAGGACCTGCCTGCCCCCATCATACCTGCCACCATCTACAGTGAGCTGGTCTATACTGCTCAAGGTACAGTGTGCTACACCAGTACAAACAACAGGTGCTCCGAGGTATGCAGATACTTTTGGGTTTAGACTGTTTTGAGCACTATGGACTGTGTTTCTAAGGCCTTATTAAATTGGACAGCAATTTTATTGCTTGTGCCTTTCAAGCCCCCAGTGGTAGTAGTCTTTGTATGTTTAAAAAGACATTCTGTGGATGCCTGTTCATAAACATCTGCTAACCATATTGTCATTGCTAAAAGAATCAAAGACAAATGGATTTAATTCATTCTTTGCCTATTATCCTATCTAGTCTATGGTTTTCAGTTTCTAAGACACATTCTGATGCAACCTCTATCCTGCATGGAAACAATTATGACATCCATCTGCCTATAATTCAGTTTCTGCCACTGTACCAAGGTACTTGTTTTGACCAGAGAGAAGATGTCAAGGTTTTGAGCATGTTTGCTGTATCGTCACACCCGCCAGAATTTTGCCATAGATAAAAACAAGAAGAATATAATCCTCTGTCAGCTTTCAGCACAAACTGTACTGAATTATGGTCTAGTGTCAGTCTCTGTCTCTGTCCCTCTTTCTTTCTTTCATTTTTCATTTTCCATACACCTGACCTTCTTGCCCCCCCCTTTTACCTGCTGTCCACTCCACCCAGCAGGTCCTCTTCTCCCTGGCTTTTAGGGACTCTTGAAACTCTAATCCATTTGTCATCAAGCCTCCCTTGATATCCTACTTTTTTTTGCTTTATGTGTGCACTGTGCATGGTGGAAATAAAAGACCTGTCAGAGACAGACTCACATTAACAGTGTCCAGCAGCCTCGCCTCTGTTTGTCTGCCCCAGGGCAGCTGTGGCTGCAATGTAGCTCCACCCATCACCAGTGTGTGAATTGGTGGATGACTGAATGTAGTGTAAAGCGCTTTGGGGTCCATAGGGACTCAGTAAAGCGCATAAAAATTTGCTTATTTTCCATTACCAGATGTCATCCTCAAAATATCTATAATTGATAATGAGAGAACAGTAAATCAGTAAAGTATTCACTCTGCATTGTATATTGCAGGTTTTTATACTCACATACATAGAATTAGTAAAAAGCCTTATTGTTCTGTTTTCATCTGTTGCTTGAAATTTGTTGATGTTGTAACACTTAAAATCCCCTCTCGTTAAATACTTTTCCTCTGGCTGTTCTTTTCTCCGGGAGTCATTTTCTCATCTGATCTGAATCCTTTTTTCCAGTCAGTGGCACATCATGGGAAATCCCCCTACATTATTAGAAACAAAGATAAAATGTTTGGAAAACTGAAGGGATTTTTTCAGAAACCTTCTGTACTCTATATGAAGCAACCAGTGGGATGTGTTTTTTATTTTTTGCCAAAACTATGTATTTAAGAAATTAAAATTTCTCTGAGATTGCCTGAGTAAGATCTGTGTAAGATGTAACATGACTGTTTAATCTAATCTATAATGCTTTTGTACATCACCTCAAACTTTATTTGAGCCTTAGATTAGTCCAGTCATATTTCTATTTTTCCGAAAAATAACCTGTCATGAGAAGATGGTAATCCTGTAATCCTTCTCTCATTTGTTCCTGCAACATCCTGATCACAGTTGACCTTTTGTTATCATGCCTGAGCCACTTTTCTTTCATGGCAACCGAAAGATCTAAGAAGTTGCTTTCTCATGTGTACAAATGCCCCTTAGTCCCTTAAAGTAACAATCTCTGCAGAGCTAAAGTCATTAGATTTGTATCTGAACACTTGTATTTTTTTTTTTACCTCAGAAGTTTCCCATTCTACTTAAATATGTGGTCTGTGAATCACTTATCTTAATTCTTTAATCAGAGGGCTCTTTTTTCCTCCAGCTTGTGTCTTCCTTATCCTTTCCTAGTCCTTCCCCCAGCGTTATTTTTTATGCTTCCAAGACTCATTCATTGCTTTTGTCAGCATTAGTTAACCTTAATGCTCTCACAGAGGTTATTATCTATGAGGATAAAGGCCAGCTGCCTGAGTCAGCCTGATCACTGTCCATCTGGACCTAAAAGTGTGAGAGGGAAAAAAAGAAACGGCTTTTCAGTTGGAAGGGTTGATGCATTCAAGGGCATTAATGTGCTGTTGTAACAGGCTCCAGCCTTCTGGCGTCATTATGTTCCCATTGAGACATGAGAGCATCAATGAGGGTCACCACTGATGTTGGCTGATTAGGCATAGGTCTCAATTTACATTCCAGTTCATCTTAAAGGTGTAAAATAGATTCAAGCTACATCCATACTGGAAGCAATCAGCAGCAATGTGGTAACCAGAAACTCTAAAAATTAAATGAGATTCTACAGATCCTTAGGTTCTTTTTGAACTCTATTTACCCTTACAGTGTTTCAAGTCCTTTGTCTACACACACACACTAAATCAGTCAAAACTGCAATTTAGACTGAAATAAAAATGCATCTTATCTCCATGAAAACCCAGGAGATAAGAGGCATTTTTATCTCCAACTATAGATAATGCTGGTCTGGTCCTAACCACCATCATGTCAGCATGTCTCACACACACTCTTTGGCACACCAAGGAGTCTAATGTCCAGTTGTCCAGTCTCTCAGAGCCCCAGGGGGTCAAATAGGCAACCCAAGTTCTCGCTTCAGCCTTGACCTCCATTGATTAGTTGGGTCAACAATAATCAATAACGACAGACGGGAGGGGGGCTGAATGTGCCAGTTGTCTGTGATCAGTAGAGATCACACAGAGCTAGGGCTGACCTAGGTAACATGACCTTCATTTAAACAAACCAAACACACATATATACACCACAAGTGTCCCCTGAACCCCCATGAGCCACCACCCTGGGCAGGAAAACACACTCAATGTTTGTATGTTTTAAATGTATTTTTACATTTTATACAAATGTCTCAGTTTTAAACTTCAGTTTTACAGCACCAGGCTTTAAATTTAATTAAATTCTATAAAAACCTCTCCTCAGTAGCTTACATTGTTTCATTGTAACAGAATCCTTACTGGAGTCAAAAAAAACATCGTTACATTCACTGAAAATGATACATGGATGTACTGGAAATTATACAAAGGTATTTCACACATTGCAACATTTTTATCTGCCTCTTTCTGGCCTACTAAATATGTATAAATGTGTAAAATGTCACACTATTCTGAGATGTTGAGAGGAAAAAAAGCAGACATAACACTTTAGGATTAATTTAGAGTATATTCCAGTTAATTTTACAAGCTCGGGTGTGAATTTAAAATGAGACTTTATTATTAAAAGGAATCAAATAAACTGAATCAGTAAAAAACAAACAAAATGAAACAAAAAAATTAAACTCCATGAGCAGAGAAATAGACTCAGCCATAGATAAAATTAAAAAAAAAGACACGTTGTGTGGAGTACAGAGTTAGGAGTCTGTTTGTCCATGGAAGATCAGCACTCTCCCACTGTGTCCTCCAGTCATAAACCCAACACACAGCAGTCTCGGGCACAGATGTTTTTTTTTTTATTTGCAGCTTCTTAGCCATGACAAAGGGCCTGTGCTGAGAGAGCTTGTCAATATGTCTGGTCCTTCTTGAACACAGCCCATTGTCTGAACCCTGGCTAGTACAAGAAAGGAATTGGTATATACCCTGCACAGCCTCCCATGGTGTCATTTTTATAACCATCCATTTATAGAGGCCATGTGATTTTCTCCTTACTATATATTAGGCTAGCTTACACGTTACCGGCTGTTGGACTAGGACTGAATGCAAATAACGATATCCTGCCAAGGCTTTACATCTCCTCAAAGTCAGCAAGCAGTTAGCTACATGCTTAAATTGATATTGATGGTGCTGCTTCTCGCCCAGCAGCACATCTATACTTCTGTTTAAAAGGAAAGCTGGAATGTTTCTAATGTGAAAAATGTTTGTGCATGTGCCATCCAGGGTGTCTGCTGAGCTGCACAGCATATCCTAGAATGCTCAATTTTCACAATACTTTGTCTGATCACCACTGGCATTGAGTAACAGCAGGTTTGAAGTACTTCTGTAAAACATTTCGTTTAAATGTAACGTGATGCTGGAACAGGAAGAAACCACTTGCCTATGAGACTTACCTTAGATAAAGGGCCAGTGATCAGCCCTCTATCTGTAATCTTTAAATGAAAATCAAATGTGACACATCACTGAGTCTAAAACAACAAGGAAAAGTGTCAGATGTCTTAACCTAGCCTTATACTTGAACAAATGTCCCTGCAGCAGATCCAGTGACCAAAAGACTCTGAATGTTTCTGTCAACATAATAATAATGGATTGCATTTATATAGCGCTTTTCTAGGCACCCAAAGCACTTTACAATTCCACTATTCATTCACTCTCACACACTGGTGGAGGCAAGTTACAGTTATAGCCACAGCTACCCTGGGGCAGGTTGACAGAAGCGAGGCTGCCATATCGCACCAACGGCCCCTCTGGCCGTCACCAGTAGGCGGTAGGGTAAAGTGTCTTGCACAAGGACACAACGACCAGGACAGAGAGAGCAGGGGGATTGAACCGGCAACCTTCTGGTTACAGATGAGCGTCCCAATCCTCTGAGCCACGGTCAAATATGAGTTTGTAAGGCTGTATTACAAACTCAGATTCACCATCCAAAGTAGTGGCTGGTGAACCACTGCTTAGTATGAGCACAGTATGAGAACCTTCCAGTCATGTGACTGTGACTGGCGACCTGTCTCAGGTGTAGACTGTCTCTTGACTTTTGATAGATTGAATTAATATGACCTTTACCAACCTTTATTTAAGGAGATTAGATTGGAAATGTGGGTTGTGGTCTTATTTGCAAGAGTCCTTCCTGCAAATAAAGATATGACATGCACAGGGTCAATTAATCAAATTGAATTTGTCTGCAATTATGACTTCCATACAGACTAGGTGACATTTTATCAGTAGGGTTGAGTGTAGCTAAGCTTGTAGAGCAGAGTAGTTACTAATCAGAAGGTTGGTGGTTCAATCCCTAGCTGCTCTATTCTACATAGCAAATATATCCTTGGGCAAGGTTGCTCTCTGACTCATCCATCAGAGTGTGAATGTTAAATAGACAACATGTATGTGGGGAACAGTTAAATTGTTTTTGTCTGCACTAGTTGGTGCATACTTCTTGCAGACATATTTCTTGTATTGTGCACAGGTCATGCTAGCCTTTAAAACATTCTTGGTGGGAATGCTCCAGAAAAATCCTCCTTCAACTCAGCTTTCTCCTGTTCCAGTCCTTTTTAAATTTCATACCATATATAACAAATGCATTGTATGCACTCACTGTCCACCCCTCCCTTTGTCTCATAGTCCAGGACCATTTGTGTTTTTTTGTCTTCCCTGGTGCTTAGAGCAGCATCTTTGTGTATTGTGCTGTGCAGCAGGAGATTTTTCCTTGTCTTGGAGCAATAGGAAACCAGAGTTGCTTTTTCAGTAAAGGCAAAAACTGAAAATGGTACGTTCGTGTTCTTGACAGCAAGAAGTTCAGAAGGAAGCTCAGGCTTGTTCTTTCTCCCTGTCTCCAACATGGTGACCTCCCTATTGAGCAATTCCTCACCCAAGGCATAAGATGTGAAAAAAAATATCACATGTGATATTATGTCCATGCAGTCCTTCGGCCATGTCAACCACCATTCTTTTGCCCTGAGTTTGCTTCACCAGTGGACTTGCCTGTGTAAACTTGCATATTCCAGGCAAAGCTGGACTGTGCATCACATGCTGCCCATATTTTGATGGCATTGTGGTGGGGCATGGTCTGTGGTTCCGCTGCAGGGGAGGCAGACGCACCTGAGTGGCATCTGCAATCATGCCTCGCCGGATTTAAGGCTGAACTAGGTCCTGCAGTGTTGTAGTTGTGGAAGTGTTCAGCCGCGAGCTGAAAAGCTGCAGCTGTGTGTGTGTGAGATCAGCAACCGAATAAAGTATGCTGAAATGTGGACAGGTCTGCCGTGTGTTCGTTACAAACATATTTTTCAGGTTTGCTTGCCATATATTGCTGAAATAGACAGCAGCCACAAAATGCAACCAAGCACTCATCAACAGTCACATGGGGACCTGGATTGTACAGCAGGGGTAAACACTGTACCCACCTTTCAGTCTCAGCATTCCAAAGGCTTGCTGTTGCTTCAACGTTTGACTTGTAAACTCTTGCCAAAATGAGCAGCCCAATGTCGGCTTTCAAGTCAGTTACACCCAAGTCTTTCCAGCTGTCCCCATACACATGTCCCCTCTAAATTTGTCATCCGAAGTACAATATTTTCAATCGATGGTGTCATGAAGAGCTCAGATGATGGCTCGATGTCCTCAACATGGCTGACTGCGTATCTGGTGAGGCCTGGAATCATTTTGATAATATTATCAGTACTAAGTCTACCCTGTTGTTGGAGTTGGGAAAGGGACCATGTTATTTTTCCATTTTTGGAAGGGATTCTGTCTGCTGGTGGTTGAGAGACAGCAGGAGGGTTAACACTCAGTCTCATCACATGAGAATTCCTCAAAACCAAGGTCCTCCTCAACACAATACTCTGTCTCTGACACATTCTCCTCCATGGCACTTTCTCTGTCAAAGAGTTGGGCCAAAAACTCATTGACAGTAACGTTTTCCCAAAGGACATTTTTAGAGAGCATACAGATTGCAGAGTACGCAGTGCACCAATGATTTAGATAGAAGGCAGTCATGAAAGCTTTTATATGTTTGCTCCTCCCTTATTTTGCATGAGCTGTCATGTCCTTGCAGGAGATTCCCACCCACCACCACACAAGAAATATCAGTTGTAATTCAGCAGGTGTGAGGATAGTAGGTTACACACAGAGAAAGGCGTGCTTTACAAAGCTAAAACAACTCGGCGTAAAACTGACCCCAGAGGAGTGTCGATGTATGCAAAATGTGTACAGCCCAAATTTCATCATAAAAATGTTATGCTTACTTAGTTGCCCCCATCACATAAGGAAGTCAAGAAATAGGAAGCCAAAACAAAAAAGTTAACTATTAATTTTTGAATGATGATCATTGAATGGGGTCATTGTGACCCCATGCAATGCTTTACATTTAGCTGTGAATAGCTCCAGTGCAAGCTAAAGCAGAGACAAGATTTTGAGACCACCCAAGTGGAAGCCTTCTGCCATTTGGTTACGTTATGAACAGAATCAGTGACAAAGCGCATGGTTGAATGCTGTCAAAGCTCTGCCGGAGGTGGGAGTTGAAGATATGATGGACTAGGCCTCTGCCAGGCATTCCCAGGGCACCCTCACTAGATTTAGGCACACCAGGACAGTCCATTCAGACAATGAACATTCAGTGTCATTAACTAAATAAAAGCAGGAAAACTGAAGCAGTCGCTTTTATCTATTCTTGGTAATTATAAGGCTCAGAAGGTAGAGCTCGTTATCCACTGATCAAAAGGTTGGTGACTCCTCGAGTCATCATGTTGCAGTGTTTGGGGCAAGCCCAGAATTGCCCCAGCCAAGCTCTTTACATGAGTGTTTAAGCCCTGTAGTGTTTCTTTGACATTGTTGGTGAATATGTATTGTAATATGAAACATTGTGGTCTATAAAAATAAGAATTCACTGCAGTCTATTTACAAGAAAGGCAAGACCTGATGCTACAGTATATCTGTTATAGTTAAAATATAGTGTAAATACTATGTATTGTCTACTGCCAAAATGAACATAGGCTGAAAAAGGACATTTGATGAATCATTGTTATACCTAGTTTAATGCTCCAAAGAATTCAGGTGTTCTGTCCTTTTTTTTCAGAGAGTCAGAGTGTGGAGGAGTGTGGGGATAGGCTGAAAAGGATCCTTGAGTCTCCCGGCATCCCTCAAGTCAACCACCAGCTCCTGGTCCACCTCACTGGACACCTGAATCGAATCAGCCAGCAGAGTCAAGCCTCCCCCCGACTGCTAGGACAGGCCTTCACTGACATTATCTTCAAGCACCTTTCTCTTAGGTACAGATATAAAAACTATCAGCACCTTGAGTATCCAAATATCCATGCAAATTTTTTGGAGGAAACACTTGATTTCATGTGAATTTTCTTTTCTTTTTTTACTGCAGTGAATTTATTTGATGCTTATGATGCACTGAGCCGCATATCCTTTGGTTGATTTCAAGTTATGTCTGTGGCTGTTAACTTAACTATAATATAAGAGCCCGTGAAGGACAGGAAAGCAATGCTGTTGTCTCTGCCCTATATCATCATTGATAATGACCTGTACCTTAACTCTATGAAAACTAAAAAGCACTGTAGTAAACGGATAGATAGGCAGACAGACAAGTAGAAATATTGTTTTTCATTCTCCATTAAGAAATGTTTTTGCTGTTTATTAAACAGGTAATTGAATTGACACAGAGGAAAGAGATAGTATATTAGGCTTTGGAGACTCAGACAAAAATATGAGAAACATTTATTTATTTTGGTCTTCACACATCAAGAAAAATACTAAATGATGCCTTACCTCATATTTTCTTTAGTATCTAGCACTTTTTGGTAAGGCTCAGACAAGAAAAGATGTGTAATTGTTTAAATGCTTACAGACTGCAGAACAATTTAGGATTAATCAGAGATTCCATACACATGAAACGAGCTATTATGGCATCTGGTGCAAATAACATGGCACAATGTGAAATACCACCCCACTCTTTTTCCACCCGTTGTTCACGTCAAAGGTAAACTTGCCTGACCATGCTACACAAACAACCCTCATTTCTGACTCACTGACTCACTGACTGCCCTCCCCAAATCCAGTACATCTCCACAGTACACAGTGCCAGGGGAAGAAATTCCTTGGTAAATTCTGGAAAAACAGTCACAGATGAATGTAAGCAGGTCACAGATGAACAAAACCATTTCGGAAGCCTTGTTAAATGCCATTCTCCCAGCTCTCTTTCTCCAGGATGTTGATTTTAAAGCTGAGCCAAATATCACACTTGGTTTTCTGTTAGCAAGAGCATTTTTTTTATATAAAAGTATCAGCTGTTTTAGTTGGATGAAGGTAATCTTGTCACGTTTTTATTTGAGCTTGGCTAATACAAATAATCTTGGCCCAAACAAATCTCTTCTGCTTGTTGCTTTTCCTTAGTAGTGGTTTCTTAGCAGCTATTTGACCATGAAGGCCAGATCTGCGCAGTCCCCTCTGAACAGTTGATGTATAGGTGTGTCGTGGCACTTGATGGTTTTTGAGACAGCACTTGGGGACAAATTCAAAGTTTTAGCAATTTTCCAGACTGACTGACCTTCAGTTCTTAAAGTAATGATAGACTGCCATTTCTCTTTACTTAGCTGGTTGGTTCTTGTCATAATATGAATTCTAACAGCTGTCAAATAGGGCTGTCAGCTGTGTATCAACCTGACTTCTACACAGCACAATTGAAATTGTACCTGAAAGTACATCATGAACTATATTTACTTTTTTATGCAAAACCTAGTTCAATGGTGTCCCTTACTACAATTTGTTTTCACTTTGGTGCTTTGTTTACAGTGCAGATGTAAATCCAGAGCATCACATCAGGATTTTGGAGGCGCTCATCACAACTGCAGGTCGAATGGAGATGCAAGCAGCACCAGGTAGGAAAATAACTATAGAGATGCACAAAATATTATTTTTCTTTTGCTTGAACAATACATTGACTGCACTGATGCATTCTTTCAATATTTTATTTAATAATTTAAAAATGTTCTGACACATGTATAATTGAATTATAAATAAATTTAATTATAAAGGAGCAATAATAGCTTATCAGCAGTTTTGCTGTTCAGGGACAAAGCTTTTTTGTTATTTTTGTTATTTGCCAAGAGAAAAAAGTTTACCTTCCCATATTTGAAAAAAGTATCTTGAATTAATTGTGATTAACCACATTTTTTAAAAGCTGATAGTGACATATTAGATGGAATTACTACAATCAAATTCTAACCTATAAAAATGCCTCATTGCTGTCACATTGATGCACTCCATTTGGAGTCCATTCATATATTCAGTCAACATTTGAATTGTTGGCCCAAGGATAAAGAACATTAGCTTTGGGGTCTGCCATTCAATTATTCAGTTTTGGCAGTTGATAGCGTTCCTCTGCACTTTCTTTGAGGTCTTCAGTCATTTTACTAGGTGGATGTTTTGCTTTTTCATTGGCAGGGCAAGGTGATATCATATCTGACAGAGCATCTCTTTGTTTGATGTGTACAATGAAAAAAATAGACAGAGAGAGGTAGGCTGAAACAGGGAGCTCAGACTCATGTGTGAGCATTTTTCTCACCCATTACCTCCACTAGTAGCCTTCAAATAGCATCTTCAAATAGCATGGAGGTCAAAGGTTAGCACTGTGCCTGTTGGCCGTGTGTTAAGACCTCTACGTAGCTGTGTGTGTAGGTGTGTGTGTGTGTGGCACCTGTCTCAGGAGAGCTGCACTCTAAGTCTGTTTTTTAAAATGAAGTCTAAATTCACTGAATTCATGACTGTGTCTCTGCTACCTGAGTACTGTGGTTCACCATCTCTGCTCAGTGTGACTGGTATCTGTACATGTGGGTTTATCCTACAGTTGCATGTGAAACCTTAGTCTCGTCCAGCTTGTGTGTCGGTTAGCATGCTAAAATAATGTGAGGGAGAAAAAAAAGGGAGAATTGTAAACACCCATATAAAGCCATTCACATTCTGGCCTTCTCTCTGTGCTTTTGTTATGAGACATTTTGCTTCTCAGGCATGCCCACAACTTGGCAAGAATGTAATATACACAAAACACACTTTAAATGCACACACATGTTCTCTGTGTGGGCTGTCTGTGGTCATTTATTTGGCTGGTTATGCATCCCATCTGGGTTTGAAATTGACTCTTTGGAGAGTTTATCACAGCGATAGCTGGTGTTACCATGGTGCTTCCTTTGGTCCCATTTAAAGGAAAATTCTGGTTTATTGGATGTTGGGTGTTGGCCATCATGTTTCCACCTTAAGTTGGGTGCACGTTATGGGATGCATAGGTTCAGTGTTGCCTGTTATATTAGTCTCAGATGCAAAGATAGCAGGGGCCAACATTAG